CTCCCATCCTTGCTCTCATGGTGATGCACCATTTCTTTCTCTGAGCCAGGCTCCATTTTGTAATAAGTTCTGATCAGTGTTATAACTAATTTGCATTCAATTCTGAGAAAATGGTGGGAAAGCTTTGATGAAAAAGAAAATGTCCCGGACAGAAAGGCAGATGGGGAAAAAAAAAAAAGATTCTCAAACATCCACGTGGGGTTAGTGTATGATTTTAGTGGTTTCAGATTTGGTCGCCTCTGTAAGGTCAAATATAACCATTTATATATATATTTAATAATATATTTATATATTTATTTATATATATATACACATAAATATACAAATGTGTGTATATATATATATATATATAAATAATCTGTCCTAAAAATGCAATCAATACTAAAAACTCATCATCAGTCATTCACTGTTTTTAAGATGAAACTGGATTACATAGTCTGTAGACTGCTGAAGAGGTCTTTCTTAATTGGTTTGTGTGTGACATTTAGAATGAGGTAAATCTGTCAAACTAATGAATATGTTGCTGTAGGTAGATCCAAGACATTTACGAGTATGTCGTTAAACATTAGTAATTAAAAACGTTCAAAACTAAATTGTTGAACAAACTAGTTGATGCGAGTTCCTAAAACTGGAGTATGAAGTCGGCACTGTCCGCCATTTTAAATCTGTAATAAACATGGCCTTGGCCATAATATTTATTCATGGTCAAATAAAAGTGTGTCGGTGTGAAAATGTGTGACCAGTATTTTCCACAGTCAATCATCTCACACCAAGATTGCATTAGCCATTAAGTACTGATATGCGCTGTGGCAGATAATGAATGTAACCATCTGTGGACACGGTAATGATAAAGTGTGACCACAACGGCAAATAATGTGAAACTATCAATAAAACATGATGTTGGAGCTGCAGCAGCATCTGCACTAAAGTCTCCCAGTCTCAGCATCTGAACTGTTACCCTGCAGCAATGTGATAACATCAACCACAACATGGGGTGGGGGGTGGGGGCTCTCTTAGTTATTTCTGAGTATTTCTGTTACAGAGAAAATGCCAGCATGAATATTATCCTCCACTACCAGATTTAATCCAGGCTAACCATCCACAATGGTGCACGAGGTCAAAGGTTCAGTTCAAAGCCCAGTTCTGACTGGAGCAAAGAAAAGTGCAGCAACGAAACCTTTTGTCAAACAATGTGAAAATGTGTTGCCTCTACAGATAACAACAGTACTGTATGATACTGTAGTGGCTGAAAGTCACTGTTCCATTACATGATAGACATTCACACTTCCTCAGAACAGAGGAGAGAACGCCCTCAAGTCCAGAGTCAGGATGTGACTGTTGACAACCATGTGGACGGTGGTGGAGAGAACAAAGTTATTTACAATTTTGTTTTTAAGTGTTTTTTTTTTTTTTACTAAAAAGCTTTTTCATTAATGGTCTCCAACGGATCAGCAGTTATCAGCATCTCCGGGGTAATAGTGGTGGGGGGGGCACTGATTCTCTCAACAGCTCATTTCTGACCGTGCATTTTAGAGCAAAGGTAATTTCGTTGCTTATCTATTAAATCAGAAATAAGTGATGGCTGTTGGTGCCAAACCAGGTGACCGCTCTGACCTCTCCACATGTCCAAACTGAGGACCCGACCCAGCACATGAACACTGGGCCTGGACACTCGTGTGTGACTTCTCCACATCATCCAGTTTCTTCACTCCACACACACTTCAGCTCTAATGCACACACAAAGATACCGCACACTCTACTATTAGAAGCTGAGTTGGATAATTTTGCTGCCATGTCCGCGGCGCTGTCCTCCATCATAACCACTACTCCCTCATTAGTCCGCTTCTTTTATGGTCATCCTTATCAATCTCATTGATTTGTAGTTAAATTGCCAGCGCTACATGCCTAAAGGTGAACCATTAGAGCTATACTGCACATTCTTCCATGTGATATTCCACATCCTACATTATACATGCATTATCTTGTTGGACTCAACGCATGTTTTCCGCTCAGCTTCCTCCTGAAACAACTGGGGGCTTTGAAGATCAGCTATATGCTAAAACGCCTGAGGCAATCTTCACAAGGTTACAGAGCATTAAGAGTCGGAATGCTCACCCAGGTGTGCAAGGGGGTGAGCACCCCCCCCACACACACACACACACACACACACAGGGATACCCTCATACCCACGCACCCCTAGTGGCCAAGTATGATGACATTCCCGAGGCTGATCCCTGACAGGCGTTGTAGACGTGCTGCCGTAGCTAGGACGGGTTAAACGATAGTGTTGTAAATCATTTATCTGTTTCAGAAAGAGCATTAGAGAGGATGAAGCTCATCGCCTGCCATCACAGAATTACCCTAACTGCTGCTATAATATGGCTGAGCATAGACAGCGTTCACAATCCCCTCTTCACCGTCCTATTGATTTTCACACCCTGAGACAGTGCACTCCCAAAGGGCAGTAAATTACAGGGTAATTTACAGGGTATTACACCTGCAGTGGAAACTTTACAGGGATGCAGGTGTCATGCACCACTCCCACTTCATTTTAAACACTCACAATTAAAAATGGAATACAGTAACTAAAAAAACAAAACAAACAAAAAACACAGATTTATATATAAAAAAAACCTCTGGGTTATTCATTACATACTTAGGACAGCAGAATTCTTCCTAATCTGTACGTTAACAAAATCTGCCTCCTACAGGACAGTCAGAGAGACTTTTTTTTTCTTTTTTTTTTTTTTTGCAGAAAACACTGACTTGCATTATAAATATACACCAGTGACATTTTTTTTTCTTTTGGTGAGAGTGACATGATTGCTGAAGATTACAGCAAGTCTCAACATCATCAGATGAATCACATCTCTAAAGATGTATTCTTAGTAAAAGGTTCTTGAGGTTTGTCATTTAATACACTCTCCAGCATAACAACACAAACTGTACTAGTTTATAACTAGTGTTTGTTAAAAGGTTTCACAAACAGTTCATTAAAATTGGCAACGACAATATCCCTGATTACAACGACCCCAAGAAAACTAAAGAAAAATGAAGTTCTTATGTAAAACATCACGTTGGTAAAATAAATGCGTGTCGGATCAGCCACTGTTTGATATGTGGCTTCTGTTCTCTGCAGATGCCTTTGTTGTGGATGTTTTGTTTATTGGTTTTCAGGACATGTTTAAAAGCATTAGAACATTCATAGCTCAGAAACATAATTTATAGCGAAAGTTACTGCCAAGCTGGAGCCTGGAGGACAGAGGTTAATATAGTGGAAGTTAATACTCCAGGGGAAGATTCGGCACGAAGCACACATTCTCCCATAAATGCCTCCAACAAGAATGAGAATGCAGCATGACAAAAACAGAGGGTTTTATATGTCTTTGACAACACAGATAATTCAGAAGGAACAAAGTAAACTATTATCCATCTTCGTGTTGAAAAGATAAGCAAGAGATGGGCACGATACAACGCCGTGGCTGCATCTCTGCGGTGGTGCTGGAAGGCATTAGGGAAGGAATTGTAGACTAATAAAACTTCCTTAACTCTGCAACACCTGGATATATATGGTTTCTTTTCATTTCTTTTCCAGCTTTGCTCACTCCTAGTAAAACTAGCTCTCAACACCAGTCCTCACTGACCTCAGGATAGCCCTGGAAACATGAAAGACGCTTTATCTGTTCCAGGTGTGGGTTGGCTGATGCTCGAATTGTGTGTGTGTGTGTGTAAAGGGGAGAGAGAGTGAGACAGAGAGTGCAAGGAAGAGAGAGAGAACAATACAGATGTTTGTGTGGAAGACCAGATTCAAATCCTCCAGCAAGTTCCTAAACTAAAACAGGAGTGCAATGCAAACACACTGTACATCAAGTTCATAACATGTGAAAGCAATAACTCAGCTCAAAGCATCATGTTTCCACACACAGATGTGTTTCAGATCTATTTTACATGCGTCCACATCTACACACAATTGAGACTAAATGTGTTTTCTGTATTTATTTTTTTCACTTGTGTTTGTGAATATATTATATCTGTGAAGTGTGAAACTAATTCATAAATGTGCAACACAACAGCCGGCTCCGGACAGAAACACATACCAGAATGCATCAGTGATGCTTCGTCTAATTGGTACCAGCTCCTCCCTCACTCTCACTGTGTAGTTTCAGGTTTTAAACTTGACCTTTGACACTTGGGCTTGTCTGTGTGCTGCGGGAGCAGAAGGAGCCAAGGGCACAGCTGTGAGGGAGGGTCCGCAGCAGGACGACTCCCCTCTGACAAAGAGAGAAACTCAATTGGAGCGTATTAGTGTCCAAGCAGTTGAATATCACTCATTCCAGCTAACTGGAAACATCTTTGCTTTTGCACTCAAGGCAACTTCCATTAACCTCTAAAACAGTGGGGGGGCCGGGGTTGGACGGGTCACACAGGACCACTCTCAGCTTTAACTTTACCAGAAACTTTGCTCTATTTTTAACCCCCCCATACATATTGCTGTGGTCATTATTTTCAATGTTTCTGTCCCACACTGTCAAATGCCTCTCAGGTTTGATGTATGAACGGTGGTCCATCACTTACATTGTTCCTCGGGACGACCAATGAGTGTGTGGTTCCCCCTGCAGTGGGCCAGACAAAGACAGATAGATGGGCCGGGCTCAGGCCATAGGTACCAGGGGACAATCCTCAGGACAGCTAACAAATAGGGCTGAAAGAGAAAGGAAGGAGCTGAATAAAAGCTGATAGTCCACAGAGCTGCTCAACCCATAACTGTCACGTCTGCAGATTGAATAGCCGTCCTAAATGAAGATAAACTATGGATCTATAGAGTAATATCAGCTGTTTGGTGAGTGTACAACAAGGAGGAGACGTCAGAGGAGGTTTTTTCACTCCAGAGTATGAGTTCCATAGACTATTGAAGTGACACTAACAAAAAAGTTATTAGAAGCTGGATCTATGTTTGGTCACAGATTTTCCAAAAAACAAAAAAACAAAAGAGGGAATGGCGGCAGAATTGTGTCCAGCCCTCCACTCCCAACGTTACCCCCACTGCCATCCCCAATGTCTTTTTTTTCCTACAATCTGTGTCAGAAGACGCAGCGAGAGGTTTGAGAGAAACACTTATCTTGCACAGTGGCAGAACCCTGTTTCTACACCCTTTATCTCACCAGGAGATGGAATTCAATATACAAAACCCCCATCATGCAGCAGCATCACGCCTGTACTTGGGATAAGGGCAGGGTTGCCAGGTAATTGGCTGGTGGTGAACTTACACGAGGTTTGAGGCAACCCGTGGAGGAGTGGAGATTACAGGAAGGGGTGCAGGGGCTGGGTAGCTGGGAGCCAGTGGGGGAGAAAGGGAAGAAGGGGAGAGAGGAAGGGATTTCCTAACAATATTTCTCTGAATCCACGTTCTCCTCAATCCAACCAGAAATTCCACATCTGCTAATAAACACAACAACGTTTCCTCAAACCAGCAGCTAGTATACAATTATTAAGAAGAGTGCAAACAAGAATGGTTGCTCTTAGCATTTACGCTAATGTAATACTGCTCATTACAGTACATACTGTAATACTCCAAAAGAGCTAGTACTGATTCTCGCCTCTACCTTCTACCATTTAATCCTGTTGAGGGTCACAGTTGGAGCCAATCACAGTGAACACCATGGGTATGTGGTGTAAACTTTAAATTTAAACTTACATTCGCAACAATGGTTAACTTACAGTGAACAAAGAATTATGTAAAGAATTCTCAATTTTTTAATGTAAAACAATACTGCAGTAAATGCCATTTTATCACCCAATATTGGTATGTGAAACATTTTTTATTATTAATTGTGTACTTCTGACACAAATGGGACACAGGATTCACTGAAGTCCAGATCTTAAACCTAATCCTAAAAATCCACTGTGACTGAATCCTCCACTGACAACCAACAAAACAACTAACCCCAAACCATTTCTCTTGCAAAAGATGAGCAGAGCACAGGGATGACAGACCGATGATAATGTCTGAAAGTGTGTAATTAAGGAGGAGGAAATAGTTCAGCATCACATTAAAGTAAGATTTTTTTTTTTAATGTTTGTTTTTGGTCAAATTCTTGTTTGCTGAAAATATGTGGAATCACCTTTTAGTAGGTACTGAAAAAAATACTGGAGCATGTGAGAAATCCAGGATTGATAAAATGATAAGAAGTGCGGGGACAAGGGACTGGACAGACAGATGAGTCAGTGGACAGTGTATATAGGGACTGTCTGATGATGTCTCCGAAACTAATGGAAGACCTGGGCCACCCTCTTCATAACAGATTGATGGTTAAGGTCATGGAACACAGAGTTGGGCCCCTGCGGCTCACGCTGAAAAATCTGATCTCTCTTTTACACCACAAGTAATAATGCAGCACGACTGTACTGTAGGCAGGCATTCTTCAAGGTTGTTCAAATTTGTATAATTACATTTTTATAAAACAGTGAGTAGAAACATCATTTTAATGTAGGCATATATGCATGTGGTTGAGTGTTTTATGAAGCACCAATGAGAAAAGTTCATTTGTTATGCACAGCCTGAACATCAAAATTCATGTCAACAACTCAAATATGAGGCAGGGACAAATGACACTACTTTGGGCATATTGTCCAAGTCTTTATTTTGCATTTGGTGTGCTTATAAATTAATTACATTTAGATTTCAAATGAGTTCTGGTAATGTCCTCAAAGGAATAGATTTCAAATGAGTTCTGGTAATGTCCTGGAATAAAGGAATAAATGAGCAAAAGTAATGAATTTCCTGATTGATACAGTAATGTGGAAAGGGTCTGGAGCGTGATGGTATATATGCAAGTACACGACAACAGTAAAGAGTGTCAGTGCAAACAGGAAATTCACAAAAAAACACCATTTCCCAGTGACAAAGATAACCAGCAATGGGAGAAGGGACGAGATAAAGGGACACGTGAGGAAAAAGCAGGAAGAAAAATTCATTTCTCTGATTTATTTATGATGCAATGAAGGTATGCCTTAACGCATCAGAACATGCAGCAGTGGTCATACTGTCAGGGAAGATGAAGTGTCTTCATAGCCGACTGAGCGAACGAGCGAGGGGAAAGAAAGAGGGAGAAAATTAGAGGGAGAGAGAGGAGGGTGGCTCTACTGCAGAAGGGTGTTAACCGTCTCATCTCTACCGCACCAGAGCACTCGCCACAAAATGGCTACTTCGTTCCTTCTGACGGCCGGTACTGGGGAGGCCTGGGGGGCAGGGGGGGGGTGATATCTGAACCTCCTCTATCTCATCTCCGACCTCCGTTACCTAGTTCCTCAACCTCAACTATTCGTCATATTTATGGACCATTTTCATAGACTGGACCACTGAGTGGCTTTTACCTGCACCTCTTTGCACCAAATTAAATCTGTTAAACCATTCGGTTTTAAAAAGCTCTGTTTAATGCACTGGTAAATGTAATTTGACTATGTGTCTGCAGATTTTTTTTTTTTTACATACTTGCTCTATAAAGAACACTCCAATGACGGGAAGAGAGAGGGAAGGAAACATGTTTCAATGCAAATAAAAATCATAAAAAGAGTAAAAGTACATATAATTAAGTGCTTCAGATTTGCTTGCATTGGCATGAATATGGGGAAAAGCCATGAAGAGGAAGCTGATGTGGTGCTTTGTATTACACAGGACCTGAGCTAAAGTCCAGGGCAACATCACCCTCTGCAGGCAGAAAGAACACAAACAGTCTCCACAAACAACTTCACGTTTCATGAACTCAAACTGAGCTAAAACCATATAGTGAATATTGTAATTTAAAGTTAATTTGCTTACAAGGATGAATAAATGACAAAGATTTGACTACATGAATTTGACATTTGTTTAAATCAAGATAAAATATTTACATAATCACCTTTAGCCTAAACAGAAGCATCACCCTTCCTGTGATGACCATAAGGATTTATTAGCACTTTCCAACTATACATGCATTGTGTTGAATGGGTCACACACAAAGTGTTTTGTCAGAGTACTGAACTGAGGGTTTCAATGAGGCACAGTTTTATCAATTTATTTTGGGACTACATATAAATGGTCAGTGTTTTTACTTCTACATTTGCAAATATGACCATAAAAGAATGAGAAAAATTGGTAAACGTGTCATGTACAACAGACAGACAGGGTCAACATACAGATCTGTCTCTCTACTTTTTACACATCAGTCAGTTTCACTCTTTTCATTCTGCTCACAAAATTAAAACAGTAAAAACTCGGTAAAAATAAAGTCTTGTGCTTATGTGAAACCTCTTTCCTGCAGTTTATCCAGTGATTGACCCAGCACTCTTCCCTCTGTGTTATGGAAGACTTTGCGGCTGAGCCTTTGAATCAACTGCTACTTTAGCACAAGCTCCCAACTCCGAGGTTATTTTTGCAGGATTTTTGTGTAAGTTCTTTAAAGAAGCGCCTGCATTTGAAATACATATTATACATAAGAACGCAGTCAAATAAACTAACAAAAGTTGAGGGATAAGCAGCATCAAAGCATTCCAGAGATGGATGGAACCACATGATGAGCCTTTGTCTTTGTGAGCAGGAGCTCCAAGATGTTCAGCACATTTCAGAGCCGGGCTTTAGATTTTTTGGGGGGGTAGATTATCTTTTGGTCTTTGAAGCCCAGAACCCACCTGCTTCAATCCCAACAGCGTTTCTCCTCTGGTTTCCGGACTGCGGGTGCATTGGTCAACATAAACAGCACCTATGAGCCTCAGCCTCGGGGGGAATTCCTGTTGATTACTGGCCAAAGTCTTTGCAGAAGCTCAGCACAGATCTTCAAAGAAGAGTGGGCAAATGTGGGCCTTATGAAATATGAACCATTTGGAAGAGAGAAGCAATAGAAATCTGAAATCATTCTGTGTGTATGGATAAGACACTGTGTACCGATGCAACACAGCGAGAATAACAATTTCAAAAGAAACCAAGTCCAACCAACACAAAGGTGAGAGGGACAGTCAACACTGTCAAAGAGACGTCACTCAATGAGAGATAGTAGAACCTTGAGACAAAGTCTATTTTTACTCAGCTGAATTGATCTGAATTATCAACATAATAAGAAATATTTTTTTAAAGCAACCTGATTCTGTAATATATAAAAATGAACAATCACAAAGAGCACAATTCAACTTTTAAACAAGAATGTCTGGTGTCAAAACAAGTCTCAACGTTTTGATGTAGCTGCCACACAGATTTATACAAAACTATTTCACTAACGCAAGACAAAGCCAAAAATCCATTCCTTAATTCAGAGAATCACTTTTATCACCCACAGCCTGAGTACTAACAACTGAGGAACAGAACTATGGCATGGTTTGAATTAGGATGATTTTATATGTCTGTGTTTTTGTGTGTCATTTTATGCTAACATATTTAAATTATAATGAATTACATCATGAATTATTAATGTATGTCTTATGTACACTTTGTTCATCTTAATTGCATCTTGAGGTGAACAGAGTGTACATGATATATAATAAATACCATCTTAAAGTGTTTGTCATTTTTAAAAGCATTGATTGAGAAAAGAGTTTGTTAAATAAATCTAAATGAACTTGATGCTCATCCATTAGCATGGGTTAGCATGTTGGTTGTTTCTTCAGAAGAAGAACCATGTTGACTGTACTGTATATGCTCTTCTCTCTCTGTAACAGTGTCACTGCACAGAT